GGGCAGCGGATCTCCCCTTGCCCGCAGGCCCGCGGCCCGCATGGGCTACGGGAAACGGGGTGCCAGGCCTCTCCCTGCGCACAAGGCGTGGGAACGGCACGTTATCCGGGGGGCAATGGCGGTGGAGGTCTTGCGCCAAGCATGACGCCGGCACAGCCGTCTCTGGCATCCCAGCTCCGGTCCCTGCGAGGTGCTGGGAGAAAGGGGTGCCGAGCCTTCCTTGCCGTGAGTCCTCTGTGGCGTGAGCCACTCTGGTCCCTCTGCCCGTGCCCTCAGGCCGAGCTCAGCACCGTCTTCACACCCGCTGGCGTGCCCACGGTGTATGCTGCTCAGCTCTTGTTAGCTCTTGCAGGTGGCTTCAAGCTGATTTCCGAGCTTTGCCTGCAAACCTGCAGCGTCTTAAGCACCAGTAATTTAGATCTGAGCGAGACATCCATAGCGGACACCGCAGCTTGCCTCTCCCTGCAGAAAGCATCCCTTGCTCTCTGTTGGGTTTATCATCTTTGGCAGGAAGATGCGTTCTTCCAAAAGCTTAAGCCTCCTCTCCAGAGGCAGTGAAGGGGCTCATCTTCCCCAAAAAGTCATTTGTCAGTCCCTGGACCTGGGCTGAGAGCATGCTGTCTCCCGCTAGCTCCACAAAGCTGTCTCTGTGGGGCATAAATATTCCCTCCTACAGCAATCAGCATCTGGGACCCGAGTGGCTGGCCGAGGTGAGCGTGGATCATTGGAGGGGATGGAGCAGCATGAGATAATCTCAGCTGTTTGTTCGCATTGGAAAACTGGAGAAATAATACCATCGTTCCAGTGCCAGTGGCCTGGTGTGACCTGCTTTGCTGCAAATGCTTGTATTTGGCTCACACTTTCAGCTTCTCTCCATCACACATTCATAAAGTTTCAGGGGAAAAAGATTCAGATTATTTCCTGATGGATTTCACCATTATCTTCATACTGAGTTCACTGAGAAAAGGAAGCCCTTCAAGAAGGATCAAGAGGTGAAGAATCCATGACTTCCCTTGGCAATTTGTTCCAAGGACTAATTACCCTCTCAGTTAAATTTTTATTACTGATTTCTAATTTGCATTTGTCTGGCTTTATCTACAGTTCTGTCTTTTTTTTACTCTTTTCTACTAGTTGGTAGAAAGTCAACCACGTATTTTCTCAGTCTTCTTTCTGATTAGCTAAACTGGCTGAGCCTATTAACAGTTGTCACTGTAAGGAATATCTCTAGGGCTCTGGCGATTTTTATTCCTTCCAATATATTCTCCAACTTTTCAACATCCATTCTGAAATCTGTACAAGTATGTTCCAGTTTCAGTCTGATCAGTAAGACTATGAACGGAAGAAAATCCCAAGACCCATGGCTCCTCTGTTGACATATTTAGACATATCTATGACCATATTGGCCCCTTTCTTGAAGATTCACACTGAAAACTTACAACACTTCTCTCTTTTCCTGCTTTCCAGCATTCTTGCTGTATTTTCTGCAACCATTGCCTACATTTCTTCTTGACATACTGCTTTCACTTGGTTTTAATAAAAGTCAATTGATTTCAAAAGGCACGGCTTAAGAAATGATGTTTTTTGCCCTATAAACATTACTTTTTACTACAAGAGACGCCCCATTTGATGGTAATTCCCAATGACAGCTCCTTTACGAGATTTGTGGTGGTAATATGTGAAGTTAATATGTGTACATTTCAGGTAGACATGAGCATATTTTCTGTCCTCATTGTTAGAGGCTGAGGCCTGAGGCACAGGAGTGGTCTAACAATTTAGGGCATGATGAGCTTTGATGGCTAGCTGTGTGCATGTCCTTAGCCCATAGCAAACATGAGATAGAGCATTTCAACTTAAACCTCAGTAGCAGATGTGCACGTCACTTTGCATGTGTACTTTTAAACCACTGGGAATTCATTCAGTAATTCCTTAGCCCATGAGAAGTCACTTACTTGTCTGAGTCCTGAGTTAGGGATGTGGTCTCAGCAGCTCTTCCCTTAGTACATCTCCAGGACTCTATTTTCTCTGGAACCACCAATGTGAAATAACCAAATATCACAAGAGTTATTAAAAATAGAGAGAAAATGTATTTGAGAAGAGGTAACACAGAAGATTTGAATAACATCCACATCCACATTTCAAGAGCAGTGAATTGCTTACATCTGCCTCTTTGGCCATTTTTTTTGTCAGGTCTGCCAATAACTCCTGTTATCTAGGCAGAGACAATCTCTGTGTTGTGGCCAGAGATCCTCCTTTTCAAATCTGTGCTATCCACAGAGGCTGCTTCGGCTTTTCAAGCCAGTTTTCTCCAGTTATTTACATGCTGAGTTTTTGTGACAAAGTTTAACTATTTCCAAGAGGGGTATATAAAACTGCCCTATGCCAGCAGAGGTGATTCACTTTATTGGAATAATGGTGCACACTCCTGGGAATTGCACTCTTTTAATTAGGTTGATTTCAGATTAAATTAATTAAAGCTGCACAAAAAAAAAAAATATGTAGATGAGTGCTAAAATATCCCACTGAGATTTTAAAGACTCTTAACAGTGATTAACTGCTATCTTAAAACCACTTAACTACTCACTTCTGAGACTTTACCCTACAGATCCTTCTCCATACAGAAGACAAGTACCCAAACCTCCACTTTCAATCCCCTCTTTTTATTAATGTTCCCTCCAAGCACCTTTTGGAAAATATATGAATGGTGGTTTCAGACCATCTGTAATGATCTTGCTCTTCATCAGAGTCCCCATATGCATCCTTCCACCATACTTTGAGATAAAAGTGTGTTGCAAATCACTTGTAAATAAAATAAGGCAGCAGAGGTGAAACTGAGAGCTTGAGGCAAAGGATGCACTCTGGCGCTCGGCTTGGTAGGACATTCCTTCCCAGTAGTAGAAATTAAAGCTGGCACATAAAAGCTTTCTCCTTGGAGAGAACTAGATCAATTATTTCTTGTTATGAATAGAATTTCTTGTTACATTAGTCCAGCTGCTTGGCATTTTTGTCAACTTTGCTACAGTCGGCCCAAGGCTATGGGCATAGATGAGGGTAGGGGCAGCAACGCGTTGCTTTCTTCAGTTGAGTGCGCCCTGACTTCATTGCTAGGTACAAGAAGACTCTCTATAGCTACGTGTGAGACCAATTTTGAGGAGAAAACGCCACTCTAGCCATCACTTAAGAAAGTAACAAAACTGCCACTGACCTCTGGGAAACCGAGTCTTCTTGTTTCTCAACACTGGTGCCATCTGCCATCAACTAATTCAAATTTCTTCATTACTGAGGACCTTTTAATATTGTCCTGTGGGGACAAGCATATTTCTGCTTTATATCCTGCTTGCACTTTTCCTCAAGAAATCATTTCTCTGTCTCTTCCCTTTCTTCCCTTTTGTGTATGTGTTGGGGTAGTCTACCAAGTTTATTGTGAATGGCTATAAATAGCAGTGTTTGAACCTTTCTGATTGTCTTAATCCTGATTCCCAGGAGTCCCTGTATGCAGATAGCACATACATTGACCCGAAGAGTTTAATCTAAATTGGATGTATTGCATCTTTCAGTACCTTTTGATAAAGCTGACCACAAGCTGTTGTGGACCATGCCTGGAGCTGCCAGAGGTGGGGCAGCTTTGGGTGGTAACTCCTACCAGGGTGAGGGGGTGATCCAGGAGAAAGGAGCCGTCCTGATGCTGAACACTGCATTTTTGACTACTTGGAAGCATTAAGCAACCTGGCAGCTTGTCCATAATTAAAAGGTTTATTAAGATAGCTTTGTGACAGAGCAACTGCAACGCTGAGATGCAGCAGCACTTTTTTTTGCTGCTATCATTTATATTAACTCCCAGAGGAAAATCAGTTGTGCTAATTAGGACTCGTGAGTCTAAATGTCAATATGTAACTGCAGAGCATAGAGTAAAAAGCTCTTCAGGAATAATGTCTTTGCTGTACAGAAGAACACACAGCAAAACATTTATGCAAAAGGTTAGTCTGAAGCCAGTGGAAAGGCAGGAACCAACCATTTTAGAAATACCTTTGTTAACATTTGGCTATTGTAGAATGAATTTGGGACATTGTCTTCTCTTGAACAAACACTCATTATTTGTTCTTCATTTCAAAATATCCTGCAGTAAATCTGAGTCGGTGTTGTTCATATCAATAGAAAAGAGAAAACGAAAGAGAGAGGCAAAAGACATCTTAACTAATTCAAATCTTAAAGGTTAGACATTCAAGAACACAGATATTTTCCTTTTCTGCTCCCTGAACTCTTTACCTTTCCCGTGCGATTGAGATATAAAATAAATTACTTAAGAATAGTAAGATAAAAATAACTTCTGGTAGATTGCATTTTCATGAAGTGGTTGGTTAGAAACATATTGATGTTTAAACAATTGTAGAAAGAAAATCAATAATGAATGCAGCAGTTTGCTGGAAATTCTTTAAAAATAGAATTCCTTTTAATGTCCATAGTGAAGGAAAAAAGTCAGTGATATTATTACCTATCCAAAATAGCCAACCTATAGCTAATTTCTTTTGTTTGATTAAACATGATCTTGAACAAGTTATTTGTCCTTTATTTGATATGACATAGCTTTAAATCAGCATGTATAGAGTGTGACACATCAGCCAAGCATGGGGGGCACTGATTAAAACCAGCAGCAACTAAGGCCCAGGAAACATGGTGAACTGCAATGTGCGCAGAGCCCCCCAGAGCTGTGCAGCACTATATTCACCTACAGACCTGAAAAATAACTGTGACCTGCAGATTATTTGCAACATTTTACTGTAAAGACTCATGCAACTAGATCAAATGTTCCTTTAGTGTTATGAAATTTGGGGAATAGATTTCTTGAAACACGCAGGCACACCTTTCACTGCTCACTGAATCTGGGCTCTCACCTGTGTTGGCCTCAGCCATTAATTTTCTTCAGTCAAGCATACAAAGCCTGATGACCCCAGTTTGGATATGCTTTAATTCAAGATGGATTTCCCACAATGAAGAACCTGGTAATATAGTATTATAGACCTTCTCAGCTTACTGGGAAAATCCTAGTGTGTCTCAACAGATAATGCACCTGGACATTCAAGGAATGCAAAGCCAGCCAGGCTATAGTAATGTATGTTGTACTTTGTTGTCCATCCTAATCTGGGTTAACCTAGATATTCAAAACTAGGTATCTGTCATGCAAGCGAGAGCTGAGTTATGACTCACTCTTATACACCACCTGAAAATTGTCAAGCACTGTAGGAAAGGACTGTGATAGATGATTTGATTCTCAAGAAAAATACTGAGTTGAAATCTGTATTTATTTGTAACTGTGACCTAACAAATCTATGACCTGGCAGATAGAAGTTTGTTATAACAACTTGGGCCCTAGCAGGGTGGGAACTTCAAGTTGGAATGATCTAATAACAAATA